GTAAATCTATATTCCTTTGTATAAACCTAGCTTCTCAATGTCTATAACTCTAGTAGATTTTCTATTTTTTTAATAGCTCAAGAGCATTTATTTAAAGCCCCTATATATCTCAAATTTTTTAAGCCCCAAACTTTAATCTAAGAGTCCTTTGATTTGATAGAAAATTTATATTTAAATGTTAAATGTCTTAAAAACCTTGAAATAGATGAAGCTATATTATTAGAGTAATCTTTTATCAACAAAAAGACCTAAAAAATCTAAATAGATTACTCTCTTAGATTTCTCACCCTTAAAAATCTAAAAAGTAATAAGGTAGATAGATAAAATAAAAGCTTTAGAATATTTACTTAGTCTTAAAAATTCTTAGATCACCTTTAAAATATGTTTTTAGCTTTCATATTCCAAATTCATTCATCTATGCTCTATGACACTGACATTCTCCTTCTCTTATTTGCTCCTTATGTGCGCCATCCTTAAGAAATTATGATCGTATATTTAAGTGATGGGCGCTTAGGTATAATAATTAATGGAATGATCTGTGTTGTAGGATGGAAAAGCCAATCTCTTCCTTTGGCTAGCAAAATCACTTTAGCAAAAGCTATTCTCAATTCCATTCCCTTTTACTCTATGTAAAGCACCATAGTTCCAGCTCTTACTGAAATGCAATAGTGAAACTCATTAGGAAATTCATTTAGGGATATTCTGATATGCACAAAGGTGTCAACTTTATCAAATGGAGTGACATGTGCCAACCTCTAAAACATAGAGGATGTGGACCTATTAATCTTGAAGTGCAGAATAAGTCTTTCTTCTAAAAGTTGATCTATAAGATAATTTATGAGCCAAACCTTATATGGTTACACGTACTTAAAGGGAAATATGGGCTCACTCAAGATGTCAATTAGGATGTTACCAGTAATAAATCCTCTTATTTCTAGAAGAACTTGCAAATATATGGCATGATACTGTGATGAATGTTAATAGAACCCGGGTGATGGCAGTTGCAAGTTTTGGTCTGATTTTTGGATTGGCAACCTTGGGCCTTTAAAGTACCTAGCTTACATTGAAATATCTACCCAAGATCTTCTTAGACCCATTTTTGACTATTATAATGGGATGGCTAATGGAAATGGCATTTGTTCAAGCACTTATTGCCATAAGACACTTTGGATCTCATTACAAGAGTGACACTCACTGAGGCTTCACTATCCTGTCCATGGAACCTAACATCAAATGGAAATTTTACTGTTAGATTTGCCTATGCTACACCTTAATCTTTGACTTGGAATGAATATGATGATATGTGGATCAAGATCTAGAAACATCCCATTGCTCAAAGAATGCATACCTTCTTGTGGATTATGGTGAAAGGGAAACTACTTACTAACTTAAAAAGATATCAAAGAGGGATGACACAAGATCAACAATACTCTTTCTGTCATGCACCAACAAAGAATATCAACCACGCTCTTAAAGATTGTATACTGGCTATGAATGTTTGGAGGAAAATCCTACTTACTGACATGTGCATAGAATTTTATGGAAACAACATAACTACATGGCTGCTATGGTGTTTAAAATCAACCAAGTTCAGGCAATCTTGGAAGGTTGGGCTTACTATCACCTGTTAGAAACTATGGAATGTTAGAAATGCTAGAATTTTTATTGAAGAGCCTTTCACTAAAGATATTATTATCTCCCACATTAAGAGCTTTGACCAATCACACTACCAGATATTTTTCTATTATAAAATATTTGATGTAATCTCTGCTTTTTCGCCCTTCGCATTTTTTCTTTGCTCCCGTTTTGTACTGTTTTCATAGTAATGAATTCTCCTCTCACTAAAAAAAATGAAATGATCTGTGGGCTGTGGCCCTCGCCAATTCTTTCTTCTTCTATTTTTTTAACTTTTACTCCCTCTATTCAAAAATGTAAAATATTTTTTGAAGAGTTGGATGTTCAAAAATATAAGGCATTTTTAGTTTTTTGAGGTGTAATCATTACCTTTTTTCCAAAAGTGTCCCTATTAATAATGATTTTATATTTATTGTAGAGTGTTTAATGGGGGTAAATATGAAAATATAGGGTTAGCTAGAAAGTAGGTAACTACTTTATTGGGGGGTGAGATTCGGTTAAAAATACCTTATATTTTTTAATAGAGGGAGTATATAATACATATTATGTTATAAATAAGGGAAAATTTAGGGGAATTATGGCGTTTCGAATAACCAAATTGTCATCTATATATTTTAAAGAGATTTTATTATCATTTCTCCTATAAATAAGTACATATACGTACATGTGCGCATTTATGAATTTGCTTTTAATCATTATTGTTCGTCTTATATATATATATATATATATATATTATTTCATTTTATTATTATTATTTTGATTTAGAATTAAATTCTTATAATTTATTTTATTTTCCATAAATTCTATATTTGAAATTAATTAACTTATTTCTAAATTCTAACCCTCTAAATAATAACTAATTTTCTGGACTTCAAGATTTGTTATGCCCCAACATTGCTTATAATTAATTCATTACTTAGTAATTAAAATTTAGGATGTTACAGTCTTTACTACCTTCGCCTTAGACAACAACCGTCGTTGACGTTCAGCCAATTACCTTCTCAATATTTCAATTTGTTTCCTATTGTTGGGAAAAGTGTTTTTACTCCACTTTGTTAATTCTTTTCTACAACTATTCAATGTATTAATAACATCCCTCACCCTAGGATTGTACAAAGGACTAGACAGCATGGACTTTGGCCCAACCTAAAGTCTAATCTCTTTCATGAAAAGAACTGGGTTAGGTAACTCGTAGTCTGGTCTTGTCTAGTGATAACCCAAAGATTAATAGAACTAGACTTGGTTCATACGATTGAGAGACTGATCTTATTAGTCCAAAATTCACTTTGCCATTTTTTTTACTTTTTTCTCTATGAGAGGCAATAATCCATTTCAATCTAATAAACTCAATTAAGATAATAAGATCACTAATAATCATAATAAATTCAAAATAATTTTCAACAAGAAAAAAGTATTTCAATTACAGTCTAAATGATTTAAATATATAACCTCAGTAAAAAAAACACTCAACAAACTTCAACAATACTATATTACAATAACAATTTAGAAACACATTCAACAAATCTTCATACAATCATCTCCTTAGCGTAAATTACACTTGAATTATTTGTCAAAAATAAATTAATTATAATTATATTAAATAAATTAGTATGACTGGATTGGACTAAGTGGTCCAGATGCCCAATCTCCTGTCTAATAATCTTTTTAGTCTTGAAGGAATAATGTTTATAAGGACCGAACAAGATAGAACTATCTCGGGTTGAATTGGATCAGACGGGACTAGAGGGCTTTTGCACAGTTCTACCTCACACCATAAAAATCAATAGACTCAACATTAAGCCAATCCTTTTTAATAACAGAATCATAATCCTCATGTTTCGCCCAATTAGCCTCAAATTTAAAATAGTGTGTGGATTTTTCATCAATAAAATAGCAATCCACAACCAGTAAACTATGATCAGAACCAATTGGTTCAGTGTGTTATCTGCATTCCCAAGAACCCGATCAATTCTTTCCCTAACTGTTGCCTCCCCCAATCTGTTATTGCACTAGGTAAATTGTAGCCCATTAAATTTGAGATCCATCAAATTGCAATTAGACAGCAAACTCGGAAAGCCAACAATTTTTCTCAAAGCCTTCGGTCTTCCTCCCTCTTTTTCCTCCTATGAAACAAGATCATTAAAATCACCAACACAAAGCCAAGAACCCCTCACACAGCTAAGAAATCTCCAAAGTCTTTGCCAAACTTCCCTTCTATCTCTCTCTGGAGGAGGCCCATAAATAAAATTATCTATTATTTTAAAGTTAACTTTTTATTAATTAACAAGTAGTAACTTAAATTCATTATTAACTTTAGATAAATTCATGAGTAACATCTCATTGATTATTTTGAATGAATATTTATTTTTAATTTTTAATTATAATTAAAGAGCATCATCCTTTGATAACATTTCAATTCCAGTTTTGAATTACTCTTCTAATTCTATTTATAGAGAATTAATTTTTGATAAAAACTTTATCAATTTTTTATATTTATTTTTATCTTTTTGAACTTATTTAATGTTAAAAAATTATTAAAAATAATTATTTTTACTCTTATTAATGGTCAAACTTTTTAAATTTTAAAAAAGAGTCAATAAAATTTAAATTTTTATTGATTCTCCTAAAAAAATGACTTATAAATTCGACAGTTTCTTGTGACAGTAATTGTCAATTTCCCAAGACATAAATCATATAATATTCACTGCATTCCTTCCCCCCTCCCTCCTGCATTCCGCTTGAAAATTGAGATCTCACTTGACTCTCGCAAATGCGCTCAACTGCTTCCTTGTCGTCTTCCAAAACTTATGGCTTCTGCTTTCACCATCTGATGCTTTGCAGAAAGCATTCGTAGCGAAGTGTTTATTTCGTTGATGCCAAGTTGAAGCCTTCAACGCAAACACGAAATTTAAAGATTTGACTTACACGAGCGTTTCAAACTTTCAATCAGCTGGAGGACTGTTCTGAGTTCTTTGTACTGGACAGACAGTCTATGACTCTATGCGCTGATTGACGGTTTGTTATTTCCTCTCTTACATTTCCGCGGACCTGTTTTCTCCCTTATTCCCTTTCCTCTTCCTCGGACAAGATTCTTTCGAAGAATGGGTTTTCAGTTTTTCTAAACAGACTAAAGGAAAGCAAATGCATTGAACTAGACTCGTTGGCCCACTTGAGTTTGATGTTTTTTGTTATTGATCTTGTCCCGGTGATGCGCTTGAGTTTGATGTATTTTGTTTGACACTATTCATACCCCCTACTTTTGAAATTAGTAGGAAACCCCGTAGCTCTTTCGTTTAGGACGTGAGGCTCGTGCGTCCTCAGGTTCATGCGCCAAAAACAACTTTGACCTTAAAAAGATGGGGGATTGTCGGCGGCTTATTCGTATTGGAAACATTTTTACTTTCTTTTGTGGATGGGGTCGGGAGCTACAGTTGCACTACTTTTTCTCACCCTTTTTTTTTATCTTTAATTACTGGGTACTTTAATTAATGACAGCGGACTTGTGGGGGAAAAAAAATCTCATTGCTTTTCCTTAACTCTAAATTTCATGAAGAGTTAACTTTCTCTTTAACTTCTCCTTCCCTCTGCCCGTTCTCTGTTTTTTTTTTTTTGGAGGTTTTCCTGACGGAAATTATTTGAAGCGAAAGTTTGACAAGGCGCACTATTTTCTTGATAATATGTGTGTGTTTGTATTGAAAATGACAGGTAGCTGTGCATTCATGAGCTTGTCATTACTACTTGGTCACAGGTATTACAGTTCATCTATTTCACATTCTCTATCTTGAGATTATTGATGAAAAACCTTTCAATAGAACCTCAATACAGGCTGCAACTATGATGCCTGAAACGAATCTGCAAAATCTATAATTACTTTTGCGCATGGGCTTACTTCTGGAAGTTGATAACAACTTGACAGGGTTTCTGGAGAGGCTATGCGTTATTAAATGACAAATACGGTGATCGCAGGATGTGTGATTCATTGGTTATGCCATCTGCACTGAGACGGTAAGGGGAGGGGGGCGGTGCATATATGTGCGCTCTAAACTATCTTCTTCCTTTTACCAATACTCACATAGAATTTTATTTTCACAGAAACTATTCTTCATCTGAATATTCACGCCCGGGCACAAGTTATTGTGATTCAGAACTTCAGGTTGATGTTCTGAGTGAGCTTCGTTGTGGCGACTTATCCATAAAGGTAAATTGGATGGTGGGGCTGCCTTTCAATGATTCATGTAAGAACCAATAGGATGATAGCTGGAACAAATTTTGAGTCCAACCACTTGCCCTTTTGGTGATTCATATGTTCACTATTTTTTTCCTACTCATTGTCTTTCAAAGTTGATTGTAGATTCTCCAAACTTTATTGCTGTAATTGATTTTTTTCAATGGAAATATCAAGTGATTCTTCTTCTTTTTTGGTTAACAATATAAAGTGACCATTCTTATGACTCTTTTCAACTGTAATCTTTAGGTGAGAAATGTTAGGGAAGAGACAGCAAGAAATATGCCACGTGAACAAGGAAACAGTGATGCTCTCAGCAGATTTCAACTTGAACAGGATGTGAGTTTTCTTTGTGTTGGCTCTTGTCTTGTTAGCGTGTTACTTGTTTATTGTGGATGAAAAATGATGGTAAAGGAACTGGATGATTTTTAACGAACCTTACAAGATGATATTAGCTTCCCTTGTTACTGATTTCTATCAAGGAACCATGAAATCATGCATTCATGAATTCTCTCTCCCCCCCATCTCACATGAGCACTCTCTCTCTCATATGGATCACTTTTCCCTTGGTATGATATGGTAAATTTCACATTTGCTTTGTATAAATGGCAATAATTTGTGAAGTCTTGATCATCATATGATTAGTGTGGTGGCGGCTAGCAGCCATTTTATTCTTTTAATAACTCAGGCAGGTTTATACAACCAAATGTATTAGCTATCTTTATGGTTGTTAATCCCTAATTTACTATTTGACATCTATACAGGTGCAACAGTTAGAAAACCAGCTGCTAGAAGAGTTGGAACTTCATGCATATCTTGACAATGTGATTGATGAGAGAAATGTCATCAAATTATCTGGTCCTGCAAATCTCCCACATCATGTATGTCCTTTTTAACCTGCAGAATATGGTGTCAGATACTCATATTCATGCTAATGTTGGGATGAAATGACTTCTAATGTAGTTTTCAGTACCTGATTTAATGGGATGTGACGCTGATACACTTTGAAGGTTTCTGTGCTCTCTTTGGCCTTCAAGAAGTAGCACTTGCCGAAAGGGAAAAAACTATGAGATTCTTGGACTTCTTACATGGCCTATAATAACGAAATTATCATCTTAGAAACTATCAGAAATTCCAAAATATTTGCATGTACTCTAAAATGTTAGGATAACTTATGAAGGCTAAAAGTAGAAGCTGATGATGATGATGATATATATATATTTTAATGTCCTGGATAACTTGATTACATGTTACCTTTTTGCTTTGAGATAGTATTTTGTTCCATCCTGTCACAAAGAGATTTGTGAAAATAAACAGTCACATTTGACATTGTTGTTGATGTCATCCCCCTGGGGGGATTTAAATTAATACTTTAGTGGTTATGTTACTTTTTGTTTTTTTGGGTAGGCTCCATTAATAAACTTATGTTTTCAAAGCAGGCTTGAGGTTCAAGTGAATTGAGTAGCACTCTTCAAATTTCTTATGCTTGTGGCTATAGATGTAACCCTTTTTTTGAAGAGTATTATTACATTAGTACATTACATGCTGATTTGACTGATCAGAAATCTGTATTTGCTTTGAAGGATGATGCTCTATTGGACCTTAGGAAAAGAGTAGATTCTGTGAATTGTAGGAGAAATTTAAATCTATAGATTGATGGGAAAAGGGAAATTTGAGTGTTGAAGGAGTGCATTGGTTTGAGAAACTGGGAGGCAAAATTCTGGCCATCATTTAAGATGCTTAATTATGAAATTTTTTAAAATGAATTTAGCATGAGCTTTTCAATGTGTGGCCGTGAGACAAGATTATGAGAAACAAAATGTGATTCCAGGAAAATTGCCTTTTGCTGTGAAAAAGGAAAAGGTGAAAACATGCTGCACAAAATAACCCATAGTGCATACAAGCAATAGTTATCAACGACTTAAACAATATTGGCAAGTATGAGAGGATTTATGTAAATGCATCTTGAATTTCTCTTTGTGGAGGGCTAGGGTTGGTAAGTTTCTAAGAAAGATATACATGACAATTTATGACAACAGAGGTTTTTATTGAATAGTCACAACTTTAGCTCAAATGAATTATATGCTGCACTCTCCAGCCATTTAACCATTTGTGTTCATATTAAATTACATTCATGTAAAATTTTGCCTTTTCCGTTAATCTCTTTGTAGTATGAATTTGAGTTTTGGTACATTCCATTGTGTTTTCTTTAGGTTCAAGAGCTCCTTTCAAATATTGCCCAACTTGAAAGTACAATCTCGAAACTTGAAAATGAGATAGTATCTTTACATTTCCAACTTAGTCAAGAAAGAAATGAGCGGAGACTTGTGGAGTATCGTTTGAGACGTTTATCTTCTCAATCAACATCTCTTTGTTCGTCTGAAATTTCAAGCACCCTGGTATGACTTGTTTTTTTAACTGTTATTCAGCATTATCAAACTTAAAGCATGTAACTGCAGCCCATAATAAAGGAGTTGGTTCAGATGTAATTCCAATTCAGCAATTTAAACCATTTCAAAACCAAGAAATTGTGAGCTGTAGGATTGAACTAGGGTCAAACATTAATTAAGCTATTTAATTTGTTTGATTTAGGTTAAAAACATGTGGTAGTACTCTTCTGTAGCTACTCTTATGTGATATTAGGCACTGTGTAAGAGATTATAATATAAATTATGAACTTTGCTTAACAACTCCAGCCTCGTTTGGTATCCAAGAATTGGGAATAAGGATATGGAATTAGACATGGAATCTTGATCTATGCTTGTTTGGTATGACATATTTAAGATCCTCAAGAATCTTAATTCTAACAAAATCCATGGAATTAGATTCCTTACTCACCCTTAAAGAATCTGATTCTTTACCATGGTTCCCCATTTTGCCCTCTCCAACTAATCGTCATCGAGCTTCAGCCTTCTTCATCACCATTGACCTTCAACCTCTAGCCTTTAATGAACTGTCGAACCATCGCCTGCAACAACATCATAAAAAGCTTCTCTAGATTTAATCATGTTATTTACTATAGTTTTGGTTCAATTTCTTTGTTTCGTTGCTACTTTGGTTTCGATCTTCGTCGATTGCATCTCGAGGCCTTTTAGGTTCAAGCTTCTCCACCTTTGTTCTTGCAAAAACTTGAGCACAATGTCCATGGCGGTGATGGTCTTTTGCCAACCACCTAATTTGCCTAACTCTGCCATGCCTTGTGAGACGACGAATTGCTAACTTATCCTTTTGCAAGATCCGTCAACCTTATAGTGTCCCTTACGAATAGCTGAGTTCTCCTTTTGGCTTGAAATTTTACCCTGAAGTGGATGATTAGAGGATTGATGGGTCTTCACTCTTCTTTCTTCAACTGTGGAGGGAGATATTTTTTAAACTAGTTTATTTGGAGAATCTAGCATATATTGTGTATGTTGATTGAATCTGTAAATATTGCAAATATGAAATCTCACAAGTCTTGTGTTTTGATTAAATATGAAATTCTTGCAGATGTATCAAAATATTGTCCATGGTGAAGAAGAAATCTGCAGGAAGTCGTGTGTAGTGGGAGGGAGTGTTGAAGTTATTAGTGGTGGGAGTGCTAGGGCTTCTTGCTTTCTTTTTCTTTTTTTTTGGGTGCAACGGGGATTTTAGTATTTTTCTTATTTGAAATGCATATAATTATTAAGGCCTCATTTGGTAGTGTAGAATCCTAACTGTGGAAAAGGAATTGGGACGAGAAATTGGGTACAATGATGTTTGATACACACTAATCAAGATTCTTGATTCTAGGGAAAAAGACAGAATCGGATTCCATGCTTCTCCTTATGGAATTTGGCCAAACTCTTTGGAATTCAACATTTTACCCTTTTACTCTTTGCAATCTGCAACCATCACCTCTGCTTTTGTCACTCACCATTGCCATCGCCTCCACCTCTCTCGTGTTCGTGGGTGTGAGAGGTTTTGATCTATTGGATGAGGTCCCAAAGGCGGAGATCGATTGGATGATCCAAAGGTGCTATTGTTCTCTTTTGAAACGGCATGGTTGTTGGACGATGGGAATTGCCTAGTTCTGGAGGACGACGATGAAACTAGATTTGGAGCATGACGATAAAGCCCTAGCGAAATCTAGAGGATGATGATGAAGCCATAATGACATTGTTGCCTACGCCAATCTCCTCCTCCAACTTCAATCTTGGCCTTCATTGTTGTCATCATCATTGATGACCTTTAGATGTTGAAGATCTACCTCCTATCTTTGATTCTACCTTTCATCTTCTTCAATCTTGTTAGATTCCAATGATGACATTTCCATTTTTTCAAGTTTTGATTTCTAGTAGATTTTTTCTTTGCTTTGTGATTGGTTTTTTGCAATGTTCTTGCTCTTGTCTTGTTGTCCATTAGGCTTCTTGTTCTGATCTTGTGGTGGTGGACATGGTTTGTTGCTGTCTACCGTGAAAGAGAGGTATGGAGAAGAGGTTTCCCATTTTTTGTTGATAGGGGCATTTTTGTCTTTTCTTATTTTAAATATATTTATATATATTTATTAAAAGTATATCAGGATTCCATCTTCATACCAAACCCAAACATACTTTATAACTCAATTCTATTCCAATTCCGATTGCAATTCCAATTTTAGTTTCATCAAAAACTCTTTCATCATACCAAACGTGGTCTAAAATTATATCAGGATTCCATTATCATGTCAAACAAACTTTTATAACCCAATTTTATTCCATTTCCAATTCTGATCCAATTTTGTCAAAGACTCTTCAATCATAGCAAATGAGGCCTTAAGGTTTTGTCTTTTCACAAGGCAACATGTTTAGCTTTTGAGTTCAAGTGATCCTTGACAAGTGCATGCACAAACATACATATGGTTTTTAATGTAATGTGCAAGGCCGATTGCTGAATCATTGAACCAAAGGTCATTCTTCTGGTTCTATTTTTTGGCCGAAGTGGTTGGAATGACTGAAGTGTAATTTCTATAGTTTAATTCTTGTGAGTTGTTACTATTTTGTCTTTTTGTAAGGGGCCATATCGATAGGTTTATAGTTGATGGGACTATCATGCTTGAGATATATCTAGTGGTTAGAAGCCCAAGATGGAAGAAGTGAGCAAGGTTCCTTGAAACACTAAAGCACTTCATCCAGCTGTTGTTGGTCTGATGAAATAGATATGGCTTCACAAACTACCATCATTGTATTGACATCTGTAAGAGTCACATGGACAAGGAAGGTATGTTGGGGAAAAAGAAAGTCATGAGTTTCTAAAATATCCTTGAAGTCCCAAACACATAAGAGTTTATGCCATGTAATTTATGGTATTGATTTTGGCACTAGAAGGCTATGAAAACCATTGGGCCCATGTCTAGAATGATTTGGCCTAAATGATGAAGCCATTAGACCATCAAAATAAGGTCAAAACCAGCTAAGTACATAATCAAAAATTTAGTAGAAAAAGTGGAAATAGACACCGACCAAGAAAGATTTCTACAAAATTTATCAATCACTACTGTGCGGCCCCCAACAATTGTGGCCCGAAGGCCTTTATTCATTTGAATCGTTAAACTCAATTGTTTGTCAAGAGTAGCATTAATGACATTACGGGTGCTACTTGTATCGATCATAATCACCACTTGCTGCTACTTGATATACTCTTTAATCTTCAATGTAGAGCAACCCTTGTGACCTTTTATTGCGTTATTCATGTTTGAGGGCTTGCCAGATTTAGACACAGACTCGAGCACTAGTGGCATCCAAGAAGTCATCATCATTATTAGCGTTTTGGATAACTAATATCATGACTTGTGATTCCTTACTCTTGTGAGAATTGGGGTACTTGTTATTACACCAATAACAAAGGCCTTTCCACTGAAGGTCTTCCATTTCATTTTTGGACAAGGTAACAATGACCTTTTTTGCTGGAGCACTTAAGGAAGAAGTTGCAGAACTTTGGTGAATGAGGGAAGAAGCCTTGAAGGGAGGTTGAGAAATGACTCGAGTAGTGGATCCAACATTTTGTGATGTCGGAATTGTGGAAGCATAATAGGTAGGAACTGAAGTATTATCATGCAAAGCTTGAATGAACCGTTCTTGGATGCAAGCTATTTGCATCATGCTCGCTCAAATAGAAGTTTTGAAAGCATTGACAACTGATTAGATATCAGAATGCTAAGAAAACAATCCATCATAACGTTTTTCGGAATGTTGACCTCTATAAGAAGGTTATTAAAGTTTTCAATGTAATCATCAACTATTGTTTTGCTGTTGTAGTTCAATCTAAACCATGGTATTGATGTGCCAAACCTTTATAAATAGTGCATCCATGTGGGTGAAATATTCCTCCTATGAAATCATAGCTTTGTGTCTCTTCTTCATGAAGTTAAGGTGCCATATAAGTGCCTTACATTCTAGATGGATGCTAAGAAAATGAATTCACTGATTAGAAGACATATCATCCATTCCGAAAAATTGTTGGTAATTGTATGACCAACCATGGAAGTTAGAGTTGTCGAATTTGGAAAACTCTACATGGGTATGTTTGGTGGGCACTGAGTATTGGTGTGGTGCGTTACCATATGTGTCGACCTGAACATTCTAATTCTGAATGAAGCTATTCTATGTACTAATAGCGTGATCATCAGGACAAGCTTTGATTCGTGACATGGATTGCTTGAGATCCCTAATGTCAATTGTGTTCTAATCAAGATGTAAGCGACTATTTTCGACCAAAGTAGTGTTTATCTCAGCATTGCTCCAAATTGCCTTGTTGCTCATGTGATTGTGTCTCCAATGCCATTGGGCTAGAGAGGACGTTTTTGAAGATCATTATGTTCGCTACCTTGATTAGAACTCTGAGAAGCCATAATTGAAGCATCATGAACAATCTCTATAGTAGTAATTAAAGGAGAATTGTTCTAGATGAGTGTGAACATTACCCAGCACAAGGAGAGATGAGCCACCAAGAATCTGATCTAGGAGATGACTAAGAGCAAGACGAAGATTGTATGAAGTGAGAACCATGAGGAGTTTGTCTCACTTGTTCTACTAGACTTCAGATGTAGCAGGCATTAGAGTTTGAAATTCTCGGTGTAGCAACTCATTGCAATTGGCATAAGTAGTGCTGTCTACATCTTCTTGTTTCATATTGACAAGATTAGTAATCTCATTATAATAACAAGGAACATCATTGCGATGTAAGGAAACAACCTTACTCTGAACATTGAAGGAAGTTTTAAAGGACTGATAAATAGGAAGCAGTTTAGAATTAAGGGAATTCCATAGTAGGGACAATAGCTAAGCATCAACCTTCACCCAAGCAGGTCGTTGAGCCTTTGAAATATCATTTTTCTTTCTTAATTAGGTGATCCAAGTGTTTTGTCCCTTAAACCAAAGATGAACAAAGGCAGCCTATGACTTGTAATTAGAGGGACCATGTAACTTTTTAGAGGTAATGGCAAGAGTACCACTAAAAATAGAAGAAAGCGCACTAGACTTTGAATATGAGGTAGACATGGAGTGGAAAAATTCAACCTTAGGAGATCAAATATAAGTACAGCAGTGTGGAAAAATGATGAGCACACCCTGGCATTAGAGAGAGGAGAGGATGATGATCATGGCAGAGGAAACGATAGTGGAAGGCATGTCAAGACATGCTGTCATGCACTAGTGAAGCAACATTGGGTAGCGAAATTGCTATGGCGTGTGGGAGAATGTGCAATGGCTGATGGCAATTGGACTTCAGGGTCTAGCTTGTGGGATGCTTTTGGTTACGGTGGTGGGGCATGTGCGACAAACGGACCTCTGGCGGTAATGGGTACTGGTGGCATTGAAGGTTTTGGATGTTTAGGGTTTTTGAAAGAGGGTTGGAAGGAAGCACAACCCCAGAATCAGATCAGATTTAAGGCTGTGATACCATATAGAAATAGAGAGATATTTGAAAAAGTAGTTAGTAAATGTATTGAGCTACAGTCTGCGCTATTTATAATTATATGTACAGGACAAAGGAATAAAGAGTATTAATTACAAAAGATACAAACTGATCTTCCTAATCACAATCTAGTTAGCCCTAATATCATACAATTAATACAATATCTCTTTGATCCTCAACAATTCCTTTTGTCATCAATCTTCTTTGTTTTTTTAGATGTCATCTTCTTCGAGGTCTTCAAAGCAATTTGATTGTGAAGGACTTCAGCTTGCTGAAAGTTGCTCTGACCAATTGCGAAAAGCTCAGTCATCTAAACATTCTTGCGAAGGCGAAGAGCCAATGATGGAGGTAACATCCATGTTTGATGTGATATGAAAAGAATCTAGTTCTTCCTTAAAAGCAAAACATGTTCACCAGATAAACATAAGATACTGGTAGTATTCTTTTGAGTACTACATAGGCAATACTAAGAAATAATTAGTTGCTAAGGGTGATATTCTGATCTTATTCTCATTTTCTTGTGTTCTTAGTAGTTTTGACTGTCAGTACTCTTTTGTGTACATCTGTTGATTAAGAAAATATAATTGGGTAAGAAAAGTAATGATTAGAGAATAACAAATAATGGATGGAAGGATTGCCCTATTATGCGTTCGTTGTTGCATGTCATGATCAGTGGGTCTGTTGTATGCTAAGCATGAGGTTGTTGGTATAGCAGTTCTCTTTCTAATACTTTGTTCATTTCTCATATGTTTGATGTGTGATAGGATTTAATCACCTAAGTGTTCAATCTGCATATTAAGGTGCAAACTACAAGTAATGCTGTAGTTGTTCATTGATCAAGTTTTCTTCATCTATAAGGAAGGATTCAGGGATGCATTTTTCTTTCTCTAGTTGGATTTGTCAATACCTCTCTTCTTTGTCCTTGGCAATAAACTTATTTTGGATTGGATATCTTTGATTTGGCTCCTTGTCTAATGCACCTGTTTTATAGAAAATGGAGTAAATGACATGATTCTCCCCTAACGTTTGGATAAGTTTTACTTGATCCTCCATTTTTCAAAATATTATTCGTGACTCTTCTTACATTTGATATATGTTGCAAACCTCCTCTTCTTTCTGTCAATGAAGTTAACTTTTAGCGTAATTGGCATTCTTTTTAAAAATAAAATTACTTGTCTCTGCATAGAAATATGCAATTTATGCTATTATTCAGTATCTTTGTTGGCAGATAAACACTTTTCTTTTCAAATTTCTTTCCCATCCATAGATGCTTTGGGATTGGGACAGGATAGGATTGCCTTTATGGCCTTCATTTTGTTATTCTGTCCAATGGTTTATTTTTGGAAGTTTCTCATTCTCATTGAAATATGTGGCAGAATTTAAAAGCATCATTGTCAATTTCAATTTGTGCATTCTGTTCTCGTTTTTGCCTTTTTTTCCTCCTTCTTCTCTGACTAATAAATATTCTGTAATTCTTGGTAAGGAAAGCATAATGAAATATATCCTAATGTCCTTTAGTCTTATTGAGCTATTCTATGTGCATGCAGTAATATTCCTATCTGAGACCTATCTTAATAATACGTGTTATTTTTTATTTGTCAGTTTTAAGTTACTAAATTTGGTTGTAAAGTGCCAGCATTAGCTGTCGTGATAACATTTTTATTTTTTTCCTTCCCAATTCCCCCCTTCTCATGTTCCCTGTTTATACCTTCAAGCCTATATTGACTGAATCATGTGCCTTATTTTCCTCTGATGGAGTTGGAATCTTATTTTGTGAATTAATTAGTTTACATTTACAAGCAAATGAGGTTGTGTTGTAGAAGCAATTGAAGCTTTTATACTGTGGCCCAATTTGGCTTCAACTTTTGATGGTCCTGTCATGACATGTTATGTTTTGCATCAGAATGCAGGGCGCTCAGTTTTGTTTTGCTATGAAAAAAAAGAGTCTACAAAGATAGAGGGCAAATCTTGTCAGCCTGTAGATTTCAGGAAACTTCCGAAAGGGATGCCACCAAAAGAACTTTGGAATCAGCCCAATTTATTATCAGAAGAAATGGTCAGGTGTATGAAAAACATATATATCTCTCTTGCAGATTTTGATATATCTATGAAGTCATTTATAGGAGAGAGTCAGCACTCAACTCAGTCACCATGTGAACATCTTCCTAATTCATTATGGTGGTCATCATCTGAGCACTCAACAACCTCGTCATGGGTGCAGAGCCCACTAGTTGATGTAAAGGATTGTGATGTATTGGCTTCTGGGAATGCTTGTGATCCCTTTCATGTTCGAGGTAAATTGAGTTGGGCTGATATTGGAAGTTATGGATCGGCAACTGAAGTATCTTGGATGTCAGTGGGGAAAAAGCAATTAGAGTATGCTGCTGGGGCACTACGGAGGTTTAGGTAAATTTTTTCCTCCGTTTTTTCTTTATAAATATCTGTTGCAGATTGAAATTAATCCCATGCTTTTTGGGATTATCAAAGATTAAAGCTAGTCACATACTTTGAGATTGACTAAATTTTGTCTGATTTATGCTTTTTTATTTTGGGTCCTTGGTATTTTGGGAATTTACTATGTTTCCTTATTTGTTATTTCATTGATCTTTTATGGATACCCCCGTATTGTTAAGTGAAAGGCTTATGAGTGTAGATTCATTTCCCCCATAATGAGAGCCAAGTTCCAAACCAAACAAAATTTCCATGGTAGATGGAAAGTATGAAATCAGCCATTCCCTCATTTGTCAACTCCTGTTGTTGGTGGTCCTAGTTCTCTACAGATCACCCAATGCATTATATAAAAATAATTTCTGGGATGTTTCCAATTATTGCTGGTTTTCAAATTTCAAAGCAAGGGCAAGATTGATCATCTCACTAGTGCAGAAATGAAACCAAGTGAACCTGGTTTTTCTATTTGGGGGGCCAAAAATGCCTTGGCTATGTCTTGTTTGACAAACTTCATTAATCATTGCTTTTCTTGGACATGACGTTTCAATCAAGTGTTTACGCTTCATAGTTAAGGGTCATAAGAAATTTGCATTGGACACAGCAGCATTAGATTGGCTATGGAAATCCCAACAGTCGTTTGGCATTAGTAAGATTGATTGGGATTGATTTTATTTACTTTATTTAAATCTTGTAATTTCCTCCTCTAATCGTTGGGATCATATTTTGTTTCTTTTCCAGATTTGTAGGCAAGGTTTAGGTGATTTGATTGATTGCTCATCTTGTATAAACTGTAATCTTGTTGATCAATGTAAATATACAAAATTGGACTCCCTACTCACTCGGTATCAAAGCTTAAGGGAGAGATTGATTAATTACATACCTTAGACAAAGACGGTATGGAGCACTAGAGTTGCACGGTCAGAAACGTCTCGCAATTTAGACTGACAGCAAGCAGGGGGATTGAGTGCGACCTAGAGTCTTGATGGGTTTGCTGTCCTTATTGTGCCAGAGAAACTCACTGGCGAGAACTACGAGGGTTGGCGCAAATGGTGATGCTTGTTGTTGAAGGCGGTGGACGTCTCGGGTTTCTTAATGGGGCATTTGAACTACTAGATAGTTCAAATTGTCAGGATTTGCAAATTGGAAGAATGAATAATGCCATGGCTTTGGCAATCAAACAAAGTTTCATCTATCTGCCTATTGCGCAAGAGATCTAGGAAGCTGTTTGAGAGGCTTATTTTGATGGAGAAAATGTCTCTCAAATTTTTGAAATAAAAAACAAGTTGTGGCCATGAAACAAGGGTCATGTATTCTTAATGACTATTATCTTGACATGATTGTACTCTGGCAGGAGTTGGATTTGAATGATGACAAGACTTGGAAGAGTGTCAGGGATGCTGTCCAATGTAAGAAATGAGTTGATGAACAACTTTTTGAATTCTTTGTTGGGCTCAATGCGGACCTTGATGCTAAAAGGGGAAGAATTCTCAATCGTGTACCATTGCCATGTGTCTGTGAAGCCGTTGATGAAGTTAGACGTGAAGATTCCCCCAATAATGAGTTACTCTGAACAATGTTAATCATGCAATTAATAATGCACTTGAACCATTTGCACTTGCAACTAGAAGTGTTGATTCAAGAAACCAAAAAAGCAAACCTGTTTTTGAGCATTGTAAAAAGAGAGGTCATACTAAAGATACTTGTTGGGATATTCATGGCAAACCTCTGTATTGGAAACCTAGGAAGCCAAGGGGCATGGTTACCATGTTGGTATAGAGAAACTTGGTGATGGAACCTCCACATCTCTAGCATTCTCACCTAAGCAATTCACCAAATTTGTGGAGTTGTTAACCATACTTAGATGCTGAATTCGTCCCAACAACCTGTAGCAACCATGGTCCATAAAGGTATTTTCTTGCAAGCCTTGACTGCTATTCAACATTTATGTGCTGGAAGACTTTGGATTGTTGACTCAGGGACATCTGATCACATGACGGATAACTATTCACTATTTATACAATGTAACGATTCTTGAGGTTAAGATTACTGATGCCTCTTTATCTTCCTGTGATTGAGCTAGGAGATGTTAAAATTTTTGATAAGATTACTCTTCATTCTGTGCTTCAAGTTCCCAATTTGAAGTGTAACTTATCTTTGTACACAAATTGACCAAGAATGAACATTGTCATGCTGACTTCTATGACACTTAATGTTTGTTTCAGGAAATGTCAATGAGGACTATGATTGATAGTGCTAAGGAATTTGATGGTCTCTACTACTTTGATGCACCCTTATGGAGAATGGTAGTGTTTGTAATAAAGTCTCCCTTCGTAGGGATAGTGACATTTTGTTATGGCAAACTTTCAATATTTGAGTCAAATGTTTCCTTCTCTTTGTTTTAATAAAGGTGCTTCCAAGTTGTATTGTGATGTTTGTGAACTTGCAAAGCACTAAAGAATCACTCTTCCTCACAATATTTTTCAACCGTCCCAACTTTTCACCACTATCCATAGTGACCTTTAGGGACCTAGCTGTATTTCATGTAGGAGTAGAACCCATAAAAAGTGATTTATAACATTTATTGATGATCGTACTTGAGTTTGTTGGACCTACCTCCTAAAAGGAAAAGAAAAACTGATGTTCCCTTAGTGTTTGTGAATTTCTACCAAATGATTAAAGCCCAGTTCCAAAATCCATTAAAATACTTCACATTGATAATAGCATGAAGTTCATTAATAGTGCCTTTGGCAACTTCCTTCAACAAAATGAAATTGTTCATAGAAGCACATGTGCTTGTAGCCCTCAACAAGATGGGTTAGCTAAAAGAAAAAATAGCTGCATTTTGGATGTTGCCAGAACTCTCCTTCTTACCCATAATGTGCCAAAATTTTATAGGGACGATGCCATCTTTATGCCACCCATTTCATTAATAGAATGCCTAGTTGTATGTTATCATTCAAGATCCCTCTTGATGTTCTCCATGCCACTCATTCCATTTCTCTCCTTGAAAATAACTTCCCTTTATGGGTCTTTAGGTGCATTACTTTTGTTTACCTTCGTCATAGTAATAAACTTGATCCTTGTGCCATCAAACTTTCTTCCTTGGATATGTCGCCTCTCAAAAAGGCTATCAATGCTATGATCTTATCACCAAAAGGCCATTGTGCTTGGTTTGAAAGGTTCGCATTGGTCCTAAAAGAAGAAAGGTTTATCCAAGGCCATAGTGATCACACTTTGTTCTTCAAACATAGGGGGACAAAGAGGACCATTTTGAGTGCACGCATGGATAATATTGTTCTTACAGGAGATGACCATAAAGAAATGGAGAAAATAAGGATGTCACTAGCCAAATGTCCAAGCGGAAGATTTGGGAGAAATAAAATACTTCTTGGGTATAGAGGTGGCATGATCCAAGAAAGAGATTTATATATCCTAAAGGAAATATATTCTAGATCTCCTAAAGGAAATGGGAATGTTGGGGTGCAAGCCTAGCACAACCCTTATTGAAGTAATCACAAAGAACAAGAGAAAGAAAAAGAGAGATGACAGAAACTAGGAAGGAGAAGATGAAGAAGAGGAAGAAGAGGAAGAAGAAAATGAAGGGAAAGATGTTGATAAAGAGAGGTACTAAAGACTAGTTGGTAAGCTCATTTACCTTTCCCATGCTAGACCAGACATTGCCTTTGCAATGAGCGTAGTGAGTCAACACTCTCATGCTCCTAAAGAGAAACATCTTAAAGTGGTCTATAAGATCATATGGTACTTTAATAGGAAGACAAAGAAGAGAAATGTAGAAATATTCACTAATGTAGATTGGGCCGACCCATATGGTGATAGGAGATCTATGCAAGGATATTGCGTATGTGTGTGGCACAAACTAGTAAATGATAGAGCACAATAGTGTCATGCAATTTATGCAGCCGACCCTACCTAGTGGAATAAGGCTTGTTATTGTGTGGGGTATCCTAGTAACTTCTTGGGAGAAATAAAATACTTCTTGGGTATAGAGGTGGCATGATCCAAGAAAGAGATTTATATATCCCAAAGGAAATATATTCTAGATCTCCTAAAGGAAATGGGAATGTTGGGGTGCAAGCCTAACACAACCCTTATTGAAGTAATCACAAAGAACAAGAGAAAGAAAAAGAGAGATGATAGAAACTAGGAAGGAGAAGATGAAGAGGAGTAAGAAGAGGAAGAAGAAAATGAAGGGAAAGATGTTGATAAAGAGAGGTACTAAAGACTAGTTGGTAAGCTCATTTACCTTTCCCATGCTAGACCAGACATTGCCTTTGCAATGAGCGTAGTGAGTCAACACTCTCATGCTCCTAAAGAGAAACATCGTAAAGTGGTCTATAAGATCATATGGTACTTTAATAGGAAGAGAAAGAAGAGAAATGTAGAAATATTCACTAATGTAGATTGGGCCGACCCATATGGTGATAGGAGATCTATGCAAGGATATTGCGTATGTGTGTGGCACAAACTAGTAAATGATAGAGCACAATAGCAACATGCAATTTATGTAGCCGACCCTACCTAGTGGAATAAGGCTTGTTATTGTTTGGGGTATCCTAGTAACTTGGAGCAGTAAGAAGCAAAATGTGGTTGCCAGTAGTGCTAAGGCTGAATTTAGGGCTGTGCTTATGGCATATGTGAAGTAATCTAGGTGAGAAGAGTATTAGAAGACTTCAAAATTGAGCTAAAATTTCCATTGAGGCTTTACACAGACAGCAAAGCTGTTATCATCTCACACAATCTGGTTCAACATGACAGGACTAAACATGTAGAGGTGGATAGAGAATTTATTAAAGAAAAGGTTGAAGGGGTCTTGCAACACTCATACATGTGCCTACATAGAATCAAACAACAGACTTCTTTACCAAGGGTGCATAAGGAAGCACTTGAGAAGTTTGTTGGCAAGTTGGACATGGTTGATATATATAGTCCAACTTGAGGGGGAGTGTGGAAATCCCAATGGTCAATTGGCATTAATAGGATTGATTAGGATTGACTTATTTTACTTGATTTAAATCCCGTAATTTCTTCCTCTGACTGTTGGGATCAGATTTTGTTTCTTTTCCAGATCTGTAGGCCAGGTTTAGGCGATTTGACTGATTGTTCATCCTGTTTAAATTGTAATCTTGTTGATCAATGTAAATATACAAAATTAGATGAGACTCAAATTGCCTCTTCATGCAAAAGATATATGCATTTCTGCATAGTTTTTTTAAAAGCAGATTTGAACTTGCAAGATTTGGATGAGCTTAATTTGCTGATATTTATGAAATTTGAATAGAATAAATAAAGTTAAATATGATCTTGTCTTTGAGTTTTGAACTTTGGGCATAAATGTGAAAGAAAAGTTCAAACTAAATTCTGCTTGAACTTGGTACTTTCTTGCCTGATCCCTGATTCTTAAGAAATTTGAATAAATGAAGTTAAACCTGATCTTGTCTTGTTGAATTTTGAACTTTGGGCATGAATTTGAAGGAAAAGTTCAAACTAAAGTTTAAGAAAAGTTCATGTGATTTGAATTTTGTTGTTGAGAACAGATTGCTCGTTGAACAATTGGCTAAAGCAAATCCCACCAATTTGACTTCCAGTGAGAAACTTGCTTTTTGGATCAATTTGTACAACACATTGGTCATGCACGTGGGTGCCCTTATATTTTTTATTTATTAATATTATGGCTTGATGCACTTTTTCAGAAATATGTCGTAGCTTTCATGTCTCTTCTTTTTAACAGGCTTATTTGGCTTATGGAGTCCCAAGAAGTGACTTAAAGCTCTTCTCTTTATTGCAAAAGGTTTGATTTCTGATTTTATTTCATTCATTTTTTCTGAAGTTTTTCTTAATTTTGGACTCTTAAAGGGGAGTGGATGATATAAAGATTGTGTGTGATATGAATTCTTCTTGTCCCAATCTTACTTCAGCTAATTACGTTCTGCTATGGTGAAAGATTCTCTCCTGAGGATGTGGAGTTGAAAATCAGAAGTGATGTTGGTTTCATATACTTCTTTGTTTGCATAAGCTTGTTGAGAAACCCTAAATTAGGCTAGATCATTTATTTCCTATGGTTTAAAACTTCATGGAAATTTCCTTTTGAATGCCATGTCTATTTGTTTGGAAACATCAACACCTGGAATTTTAAGATTTGCGTAGCCATGATGAAGTGAACATGCTTATATGTTGGAATCTACATATTTTTTATGCGCGTGATACATGAGTTTGCCCCAGCACAAAATCTGTGGCACTTCAATTATTTCTCTTTTTTGGCCTTTTTAATGATGAGGGAGCACCTAAAGCTATACCATGGGTCAAAAATCAATGTAGCATTACTTTTTAATCATTTCTCTTGGCATATATCTATATATATTTTATACTTTGATAATACAGGCTGCATATACTATTGGGGGTCATTCTTTCAGCGCAGCTGCAATTGAGTATGTGATTCTGAAGATGAAACCGCCACATCATAGGCCTCAGATAGTATGTATTTTGGTATCCCCGTTGTACACAAGTCACAGCATCATTCCACGACTCAGTTTTGTTAACTGTGTTGTCAGGCATTGCTTCTTGCTGTTCAAAAGTTTAAGGTGTCAGAAGAGCAGAGGAAATTTGCAATTGATAACCATGAGCCTCTAGTAGCTTTTGCTCTCAGCTGTGGCATGTATTCTTCACCTGCGGTAATCTTACTGCTTATTCTCTCCCTTACTACCATCTTCTGTTACAAAAGGGGGGAAAAAAGGAAGATCGAGATATACCATCCAAATTAGGTGAATGATTAAATTTTTTTCATTTTCCTGCCATGATATGAGAGGCTTGTGTTGTGTGGATGTAGTATATTTAACTTTGTACTTTCTCCAATTGCATTATCAATGAGAGAGAGAGAGAGAGAGAGAGAGAGAGAGAGAGAGAGACGGTTAAGCTTACTTGACAAGCAGGCCTTGCCACACTCTTAATCTCTCAATTCAATGGATCATCCATCAGTTAGAAAAGATTCAAGTCCATGTTGAAGGATGTATAACTATATCTATATATATATATATATATGTATATATTTTAATTGCAGGTAAAGATTTATACAGCTAAAAAAGTGAGGGAAGAGCTTGAAGATGCACAGCGGGATTACATTCGTGCGGCAGTGGGAGTGAGCAACAAGGGGAGATTGCTGGTGCCCAAAATGCTTCACTGCTTTGCCAAAAGTTTTGTGGATGATGCAGGTTTGGCTGTGTGGATATCCCATTATCTTCCTCCTTCTCAAGCTGCCTTTGTAGAGCAATGCGTATCCCAGAGGCGCCAGAGCTTTCTTGGTTCTCGCAATTGTGCTATACTCTCCTTCGATTCCCGTTTCCGCTATTTGTTCCTTCCTGATACAATCCCCTCTCCTCCCTTCCTCCTTGAAAGCTGAATTGCAAACTAAGCCACATCAGATCAGCCAAGGACGTTTCATTTAGAGAGGACAAGCTGGAGACCTTGTTTTTGCTCTCATCGAAATGCAGAATCATTATCTTTGAGGTTAGAATTTGGGTTATGTACAAAGAAAAGAGAAGGAGAAAGAAAAAAGGGGACTTATTTCTTTGGGCAAGATCCGAGTGGATCTGTTTTGTTGATCTTTGGCCAATAAGATCCTACTGGATCTGATCTGAAATATTAGAATGCAGTACCTTGTGCATCTTTTTCTTTACTCATTGTCATCCCATCCGGTGTAGTGTGTATCATTAAGTAGTTCATGCCTTGGGTCCCATTCGGTGTACCATTAAATTAGTTCTGAATATTTTTCTTCTTTTTATCATTAAATTAGCTATGTCTTGAGCCCCAAACATATGCATATGCATATGCGACTGATCTATTTCATATATTTTTTTAAGCTCGCATGAATAACAGTTGCAAAGTATTCCCAAAAAGAAAACACATTGCGCGGCTCATTTAAGGCTGCGTTAATTCGTGGGGTCTCACTAATTTTATTTTAAAAATGTTAATTATTTTTTAATTGGTTATGTTAGGAATTGGGCTAGATTGACTTAATTTAGTTTCCATATTTTTCGATGTTATTGAAATTGGATTAATCATTGAATTAATTGACGTCTTGGTTCAAGGTTCACTAGCTTAATTGTGATTGATTTTGTTGTAATGTCTAAGAAATGCATGGCATAACGTTTGAGAAATGGATCAGTATGCTACTTGAAAGAGCTTTAACCCAATAATGCTTTAAGGGGCACAAAATCCCTTCGCTCAATGTAGTTGTTGGTGGCTTTCTAAGTAACTTTTAAGTATTCTTTAAAGTTGTTTATATAAGTCACATTCTACAAGAAATTAATGATTCTCTTTATAAATTATTTTTTATAAAAAAACATGGACTATTAATTATCTTTTTTTTTTTTAAGTTTCTATGAATAGTATACGAGGTTGCGTGTAAGAGAGATGGATGCTTTTAAAAATACACTTAATAATGATAAATTGAATTTTTTCCTTTTTAAATAATAGTGATGATTTAACTAACCCTCTTTAGTTATAATGAGATAATTAGAAGACACATAGGAACATGACCCAACATAAAAAAACTAATTTTAAAATACATTTTTGAATTAATGGGGGTTTGATTTAGTAGAAAGGATTAGTTATTTACAACGTAGCGAATTAAGAATTGAATTTCTATTGAAAAATGTACTCATATTTAGTATTTGATTGTGCCTTGTATATGATTGTTTCAATAGGATACTCGAGCAATAAAAAAATTCATTTCTAAGATTCATGAATGTTCAATTTTACATTTATTGTTTTAGATCTCAAATTATGTAATGGGCGATCAAATTTCGCAAACTTCCAAAATTCATATTAGGTACATTTAATTAAGATGCATCAACATTTACGACATTAAATTAGGGCGGTTTTGAAGAAACTTGACTTGTTCTATTTAAGGAGAATTTCACTCCGGAACCTTTCAGTATGAGCTTTACCTTTTAGGAAAAACCCTAATTCACCACATTCAATTGAAGATTTCACTCCAGAACCTTTTAGGGTGAGCTTCACCTTTCTAGAAAAGCCCTAATTCACTACATTTCACTTCTTGTAAGGAAGATTTCACTCAATAACCAATTAGGGGGAGTGTCACCTTTTAGAAAAACACTAATTCACCATATTTAAGCTTCTAACTAGGTGTGTATTTTGCCATTTTGGAGATAATCCTTGTTCTTGGATGGTATAGTTCTCTTTAACACTTATGCTTTTAATTTGTTGATCTCTTACTGGAAAAATTATCTGAATGGTTTTAATGATGTTCTGATTAAATAGACATTTTGCACTATCTTCATTGGTTCAAAACACTCCAATTCATCGCAGTTGAGACATCAATTAAAAATTGAATCATCGAGATCATCTATGTCGATCGCACAAGGTAATATGTATTTTTCTTTATTGAAAAATATATATAGTTGTCTTGAATACTAATGATGAGAACATTGTGCTCTGTTGCTCTCGTTTATAAGATCTTATCTTAGTCCTAATTCTTTTGTTTCCTTTTCCATGGATTTCATATTATTTTAACTATTTCATTTTGTAGTTGTATTTTTTTTATAATAATAAACTTTAGTAGATAGAAGTAGCTGCTCTTTTGTCTTTAGCTTTTGTTCTGTACCTTTGGATTTGGGTCTTTTTCATGTCCAAAGTGGTTTGGATGTTGTTGTATTGGCACATCTTGAGAGCAATCTCAGGGGCTCAACAAATTATCATGGTGAAACAGGTCAAATTATTGGAAATTTCTTTATATAAATTGCTCTGTTTGGTTACTAAGAAAGTTGATTAAAGAAAGAAAATGCTTGAGTGTTTGGCAATTACTGATGTTGGGTATTCTTCTGAAATAGGAGAGATTAATATCCATAATTAGATTTCTATCTATAAACATTACCTCTTCATTTGTTGGTCAATAAGTATTTGGTAACATTTCTATTGGGCAAAGACAATATGGCAAGATAATTACTTTGTTTTCCTTCACCTATAATTCTTCCTTTGACCATTCTAATTTCTTTCATTTTCATGCTCTCTTATAGTCATTGCAAGGGACGAGTATAAGCTTACAATTACTTATCTAGTTTGATTTGTGTTTGGTAGGTTTGAGAGAATGTGATCAGTACAAGAAACTTGGGAATCAATGTGCAAGGCCTGTGCTGGATTTCCCCCAAGAGGGGGAAATGGTAGTGTATTACCCTCAAGGGCACTTAGAGCAAGTATATTCTTTTTTGCTCTATGTTATTGCTGCTTTCAAATTTGACCAAGACATCTTTTTTTCCTTCTTAAACTTACATATAAATCTTTTCATTTTTGGTTTTTGCAGCTGAAATTTTTGACAAAGCAGGAATTCAACCTTGAAACTCTTCATTTTAATCTTCCCTCACAAATAGTGTGTCGGGTTTTAAATGTGGAACTTTTGGTATTGCAGATGTTTGGTTCCTATTGTTATTTTATCTTGTTTGTAAAATGACTTATTTATTAATTTATCATGGAATTATTAATTTTGTAGGCCAAACCAAAAACTGGCGAACTCAACACTTGTTTCACTTTGATTCCAGATTCAGGAGTGAGAAATTTTTATACCTTTCGCTTTTTCTACTTTAAGTCTATTTGATGATTTTTTAAGTTAATGGGTTGCAAGTAGCTATATGTTAGCATTTTACATTAATCACAAACTAAAGCTTATCACTTTCTTCAAAATAACTTAAGTTACTTTGGAAGGACTCACCACATACTTATATAGTTGTAGTTAATTCTCTAATATATCATACATCTAATACTATAGACTATCAAGTTACTATTACTTTTCAAATATGTCCTTATCACTAAAATGTTTGTTTTATGGGCTTATGCAGATTGCTCCAAGGGTTCTGGATACAGCTGAACTTGACACATCAACAACTGCTATTACTAGCAAGCATGGAATTCTCAAAAAGAAACAAAATGCTGTCCATTCACCAATGATTTCATACCAAACCATGCATTTAGGGGTGTTGGCGACAGCTAGTCATGCAGTCATGACTACTACTATGTTTTTGGTATACTATAAACAAAGGTCAGGTTTGCGTACGTCTTGAATTGTTCTACACAAATCATTTGCATATGTAATGTAACATATTTTGATTACTATCTCATCCAGAACTAGCCAATTTGTTGTTCGTCTAAACAAATATCTAGAGGCAGTAAACAATAACATTGGTGTTGGCATGAGATTCAAGATGAGATTTCAGAGAGACAACTCACTTGAGATAAGGTATCTTTGTAAGGTGGTATCATGGTTAAATGTTTTTCATGTTTCATTCAACATTTTCATTTTAATGTTTTATGATTGTTTTGTTTAGTTTCTTTGGTATTATTGTGGGTGTTAGTGATTTTTCTCCAAACTGGCCAAACTCTAAATGGAAGTCATTGAAGGTTCGACTTTGTTCTTAATTACATGTCTAATGCGGCTTCTTTCACTTGCATCATCTTCATTTTAAACATCTATCTATGATGTCTCCTATATTAGGTTATGTGGGATGAACCTGCTGCAATTCCAAGGCCAGAAAGGGTTTCTCCATGGGAGATAGAGCCCGTTGTAGATTCAAGTGTTGTCAATGTTTTTGATCCAAAAACAATTGACAACAAACAGTTCAAGCCTCATTGTATTCCATCTTCTAGTAAGAGAGACTCCAACTCACATTACCTCTTATGATTTTATAAAGGGTTGATGAAACTTTTGGCTCCTGGAGTTTGTTAATCGAGGCAAACTTAAGGGACCAAAACTTTTTTATTATTGTTTTTATATATCTATTTGTTGGATTAGCACTAACATGACTATGAATTTGATTTTGTGCAGAAATTACTTCCAACTCAATTGATTCTCCACTTATGAATGGCTCTCCAAGCTTGCTTTCGAGTCCAAGAAAGGACAAAGCTATTACTTCAGCACTTGCAAAGTTTTGTAACTGGTTATGCTCATGTTTCAAGTAGCTAGGCTTTGCTTTTCTGCCGATTCAGTGGCAAAATAGAATAATAAAGACTGAGCTATGTACTTTCTCTAGTCTCTCTTGCGACCATGAAGGCTGTTTTTACTGATGTCTCTCTACAGACCTTAAATAGCCGTGTTGATGTAAGTGCCTTTTCAATTATGTCATTATCCTATGCTTGATTTCTTTACCATTTTGTCAAGTGGTTCTCTTAATTTCTGCAAAAATAAAATTAATTTTTATTCTACTTTCATGGTGTTTGACTGCTCAAGTCTTCCATGAATTCTCTAAATATGCTAACAGAGTCAAGCTCTTTTGATCTCTATATATATATATATATAAATAAATATTAAAGAAAGTATGCTATGTGATCACCACAAAAGTAACTGACACAAAATTGTGAAAGAGTAAATGGAAAGGAATTAAAAAAAAAATCCAATATTGATATTGGAATGAGATAACATAAAGTTGCCATTGTTAATCAAATCCCTACATCCATCAACACTTTCTAACCACCGATCCCACTAAGCATTCATTTAGAATTTATTAATAATTAAGCTATTAAGAATGATTTTTCGTGGAGAGAATTAACTACCGGTGCTCATTTATGAAGTATCTTCCATCTCTTTTCAAATAAGATATTTTGGGATTCAATGAATCTGAAATTTCAAATTCAATGAATATAAAAATGTTCTCATTTAATGTATTTAAAAAGTTAATGTATTTCAGAATAGAAAAAAAATTAATGCATTTATGAAGTTTCTTTTTCATAAATGGAATAAGCCTAGAAGAACTCCTATTTGACTAATGGAAAAATGACAATAAAGTCCCATTGAATTATGTAAATGATAATTTAATCCTTTAAAATGTTAGAATTTCACTCAAGTTTTTTGAGACTT